GGCAATGAGATGGGAGAAGGGCAATCATTGCCCCTTTGAAGACCCGTCAATAATGGTCGAAGTACAGGGGAAAAATAGCTTCTTTACACCCAGAATCAGTCCGCTAAACGATTTATTATCATTTATTTATTTATTTATTTATTTCACACTACAGACATGTCCGTGGAAACACGGCTATTCTATGTCCAAGTCGTTGTGCATATTCAAATCGAATGGGATATGACAACAGTCACCGCAATCATTCACACATTCATCCTCATCACGTGTGCTAACTAGGACAGCTAAGTGGCTCGCTCGCGGTCAAACAAATGCTCCCTCAGTGCCGGCTTGAATCGAGCCTGACTGAGAGCGCGCAGGTCCGCCGGCAGCTCGTTGTACCCTGACACCGCAGAGTACAGAAAACGGCGACGTCCGGACTCTGACCTGACAGTGGGGGTCACAAGCATGTCATTGTACCTGGTATCCCGCCCGTGTACACTCTGCCGGGTGACTAGACAGGTGGCGAACTGCTGCGGCTCTGACGTGGCCAGCATTTTGTTCACCAGCACGATGGATTGGTACCTGAACAAGCTCTCGGTGTTAAGCCAGCCGAGTTCGTTAATAACATCGCTCACCCGATCATACTTCCTACGGCCTGAGACGACTCGTGCAGCAAACCTAACCAGCTTTTGAAGTCGTTTGCGCTGGGTTACATTGCTGGCACCGTAAACGGACAGACAATACCTAATAATCGACAAGACGAGCCCCTGCACCAACGTTACCATGACTGTCGCTGGGAGACTGTGTCTACTGTGACTCAGGCCACACAAGGTACCGGTGCACCGCCGCACCACGTCACTGGTATGCGTCACAAACGACATGTCACTGTCAAACCATACTCCCAGGTTCTTGACAGTGTCAGAGCTGGTGATGGTGGAGCCGCAGAAGTTGATGGTAATGGGAGGCAGACGACGAGTCATCTCCGGCGTGCCAAGGACGATCAGCTGAGTTTTGGCAGCGTTTAACTTGAGGCCGTTCTCGCCATACCAGTTCGACAGAACTGATAGACTGCCTTCCAGTGACCGTTTCAGCTGAACGATGTCTCTCGGCTGTCCGGAAATGTACAGTTGGACGTCGCACAGTGGGCCAGGCGCATCAAAAAAGCGGAATTAAGTCGAAAATCAACTTCGGTGAAATTCCTGTAATTATGGGATAGAGTATTGTAAAAATGTCCAAAGTTTCCGAATAAGCAAGTTTCCTTTCCCCAATGTCAAGGCAGATAATGCTATAACGTCGCAAAGTAGGACTTACCGACTGGAGATGGAAATGACTGCTGTGTACCATATTCCGTTCCCCTGATTCAAAAGCTCTCAGCGTAAAATCATTAAAGTTATTCCGTACAAAATAGCTTTAAAAAAACAGCCGGTATTTCTGCGCATGTTTCTCGTACTCAAGTTCCCCGGAACTATTTCATGCTTACTAGTAGCGGTGGGGTTTACAGTGCCTGTTCGGAACCGTGGTAGTGCAACGACGCAATGAATTTATATAAGGATATAAAGAAAACGTCACCGAACAACACGAAAATATTTGCTGCCTGACTTTCCTCAAGGTGTATAGCTTGCTGCCCAATGCAAATATTTTGCGCATTTTTGCGCGAAATGGACAAATAAGGGTTTAACCCTCGCCGGCATAGGCCGTTTTGCATCCCTCGACGGCACAGGGGGATGCGACCCTCCTCGCGTTTGGCCCCTAATTGAGCTAGAGCCTCGCGGAAAAAACCATCGTGTAGGTCGTCACGAGACGAAGCCAACGGTACCCGGTTTTAAGGTCATATGTTAAATGGTGACCTCTGAGGTCAGGTCAATGGCCGAAAGTCGGAACCTATTAGAACGTCGTATAGTGTGGCTGCTAAGGGGGTTTTCGGGATGCTGATCACGAATATCATGTTAGTTTTGATCACAGATGATGTCTTCATGCATTTAGGCCAGGTCGGGTCAGCTCAGGTCAGGTCAACCAGTATGGGTCCTGCCGGGTATTCGTAGTAGGTGTAAACCCGCCTCTGACAGCTTCGTAACATGTTACGAAGGCACCAAAACTACTTCGTAAATGTTCAAATGGTTCCTAAATTCGAATTCAGCTCCAAAAACTAGCCCAGAAACATGTAAAACTCGAAAAAGTGAGCCGAGGTCATCGAAGGTCAATGACCTGACCTGACCTTCAGGTGACCTTGACATCCACCCTAATGCATGGGACCAACATCATATCACATGTTTGAAGGCTTGAAACCACGAAAAGACTGCAAACGCGCGGCCAATGCGGCATAGTGTCCGCCTGTCCCAGGCATATGTGCAGCGCAGAAATTAAATAATGACGTCATAGGTCAGTGACCTAGCGTAACCAATCAAAATTGAAAATGGATATCGGAATCGGCTTTAGCATGATATTTTACCCTGTAACGAATCGTTTTTGGCACCGCAGCTGTGCTCAATGATTTAATTCCGCTTTTTTGAAGCGCCTGGCCCACTGTGCGTCGTCCGCGTAGGCGATGATGCCGGTGGAGTTGTCGGTGTAGAGCGGCAGGTCATTAGCATACACATTGTGCAACAATGGCCCGAGCGATGAACCCTGGTAGGTACCGATAGGGTTTAGTAGCGGCTGTGAGAGCGTGTGAGCACGAGACGGTCCGGTAGAGTGAAGCTGCACACGCTGATAATGATTGGCAAGGTAACTCCGGAACCAGCGGGTATCTACACCGTAGAGCTCGAGCTTACGCAGAAGCGAGCTGTGTGGGATGCAGTCGAAGCAGCGCGAGCAGTCCAACAGACAGAGAACGGTGACTTCACGCTGGTCCATGCTCCGGAAAACATGATCGGTCAGGGTGAGTAGAGCAGTGTCCGTGGAGTGGTTGGTTCTGAAGCCGTGCTGGTTTGGAGAAAACAGGTGATGAGAAGAGAAATAGGAATAAAGCTGTTCAGAGACGACGCGCTCGGTGATTTTACCAATAGTGGTGAGAATGGAGATAGGCCGGTAGCTGCTAAAGTCGTCGGATTTTGATGCCTTGGGAATAGGATGGACCAGCGTAAGTTTCCACGAGTCAGGTACAGTATGTGAAGCCAGGCTAGTGTTCACAATGTGAGTCAAGACATGGTACAGTGAGAAAAGGCACATTTTAATAAAACGAATGCACAAGCCATCGGCGCCGCAGGCAGACGAACCGTTCATCCGCCCGACAATGGAGAACAGGTACTCAGGCGTGATGGGTGCAACCGTAAACGAGCCAGTCGACACTCGGGGCAGGCGAACCGGCAGATCGGGTCCGGAGTCGTCTACCGTGCGTGCCGTGTTCACACCGATATTGACAAAATACCGATTCAGTGCGTCGGCGTCCACCTGCTCGGCTGTGATGGGCGGCTTCCCAGCGCTCTTAGAAGCTATGACAGGCTGCACTCCCCTCCACAGGGAGGCCCGTCCGCGCTCTTGAATGTGCCGCTGCACAGCGTCCCTGGTGTCCCGCCGTATGGCAGCCTGCAAGCGCCGGTTCAGCTGCCGGTAGTGGTCGCGGTCACCATCCCGCAGCGCCGCGCGCCGCTCCGCCATCAGCTGTTTGGTGGCCTCGGTCACGGGCGGGGCGGTCGGGTTGCGCACTTTGGTCCGTTTCAGGGGTGCCAACTCGTCCAGCACGGGCCGTGTCACGCCGAGGAAGTACTCCCACTGCTGGGCGGGATCCGTGCTGTGGAATACCGGGCTCCAGTCAATGGTCTGTAGCCGCCGGTTCAGCTCCTCGGCGTTAGTACGGCGCCAGCTGCGAGCTGTCACCACGGTCGGTTTAGGTCGGAGTCCGGTCAGACTGAATGTAGCGCGGGCCCAGTTGTGATCGCTGTAGTCACAGTGCAGCGTGCCCTGCCGCTGCAGCGTGCCGTTGCTGCAGATGACGTCGATGGTGGAGCCAGAGCTGCGGAAGGTGGGTCCGGTGATATGCTGCCGCAGGGCGAAGGCATCCATCAGCTGACAGTATCTCCGCTTGGCAGTAGAGTCGGAGGCCATGTCAATATTAATATTAACGTCGCAACATTAATAAACCTGAGTTTAAATATGACTTTACAGTCTCATATAGCAAAATATGTGTTTGAAGAACCATTTTTCAACGGTGATATTCAATAACATGCCTTTTTCCTCGAATTTTAAAACACATTTCTTGAAATGCCTGTAAACGGTGATAATGCGACCTTTGACCAGACCTGTGACGTCATCAGTTGGACCGAGGTCAATGAAATTGGGTCGCAAGGTAGTTCCCCGGTGAGGCTATCGAACACCGTTTGAATTTTGAAAATCAGCCAGTAACTTTCCCAGATCTTAGGGGGGGGGGGGACAAACGCCTCCCCTACGGAGGGTAGGGTCCGCCGGTAGCCCTACGGGGCGCGGGTGAGCGGCGACACTGCCGGTCCAGGAGGCCAAGCTTACAGTCCGGGGGGGGGGGGGGGTACTAACAGTGCCGAGGGACGATACCGATAGTACGAGGAAAAATACTGACCGTCGAGGGGCGATACTGACAATCTGGGGTCGATACAGAATCCCAGGGGGCGACTCAGGTGGGTCGATACTGACAGGCCCCGGGGAGCCAATAAGCCCAGGAGGCGATTTAACCCAGGGCGACCCGGAGACCCAGGGCGATACCGACAGGCCGCGGAAGCACTGACGGTACGGGGAAGCAACTGACAAGTGACAGTGCCGGGAGGAGGTGATGCCGACATTCCCGAGTTGCGATTATGTCAGTATCCTGGGAGGGATGCTGACCGTTAGGGACGATAATGACAATAAGCCTAAGGGGATACTGACGGCTCGGGGCGGTACCGACACTCCGGGGGGAAGATACTGTCAGCTCGGGGAGGAGAAACTAGCAGTCCGGGGGACTGACAGTCCCGAGGGGCCGTACTGACAGTCTCGGAGGATACTGGCAGCCCGTGGGCGATATTTATATCCGAGGGGGAGGACGATGGTGCTGACGGTACGAGAGCCGCGTCAACATTCCTCAATTTTATTCCATACGGTCACTATACACTTGCAGCCAGCAGACGCACAGCAGGCCTGACGGAGGCAGCAGCAGGTCAACAATCGCTCCACTGACCATGGGCCGATCAATCTTTCTATCTTTTATAGTGTTTAACATCTAAACCCCTGAATGACTCAGGGGTTTGAGCTACCCTCACTTTCATTGGCAATACCTGTAGGGAAGTTTACCACAGGAAACACGTTGCCGACCTAGTTCACACCACCAGCGAGTCTCGACAGCGGAGAGTCTATACTGCGGTGAGTCTATACTGCGGCGAGGCTATACTGCGGCGAGGCTATTCTGCGGCGAGTCTATACTGCGCAGCCAAAAATATAGGCAGCTCTATCGCCGGACACAACATACATTCTGTCCTCAATCGCGAGCACTATGTCTTATTCCGCCTGTTCATCTCTTCGAAACCCCTGCGCAGCTCCTCACTGAACGTGGCCCGGAAGCTGGCCGACCTGCGCCGGGCGCTTTGGGCGGCCTCGGAGCGCGCCACCTGTTCTGCGGCGCGCACAGAGCGGACCAGGCCGTCGGCGACGCGCCGCGCCGCCCAGCGTACCGGCCACCAGTGGCTCAGCCGCTCCACCACGCGATCACTGGCCAGGTAGCGCAGCACTAGGCGCAGCGGCATGGCCCGGTCACCGGTCGGCAGCGGCGCGCAGCGACGACAGCGGCCGGCAGAACACACACCTGGCACACCTGGCCGCGCCGTCCGCCGGCGCTCCCCGGACTCTGCCAACAGCAACCGGCGCACAGTGGGCGTTTCAGTGGGTCTAGCCTCTCACCACCTTTCAGTCCTCATAGATTTGAATCTAGGCGACCTACGCCTACAAATGACACACCAATCTGTAGCAAATTCATTAGAGAACGTGGACGGATCAACTTGGCCATGTCATAAGCTTTTGCAATGTGCATGGGCTGCATGAAATGTTGCATAAATATGGCAAAAACGGAGCGCGCCCATTCTATGATTTATTGAACTTTCGGGCTTTTTATCACCAGGAAATTGTATTTAAATGCACTGTACAGTTGACGAGTGCGTTGTGACCACAGCACTTAACCCTCCCCCTATAGGGGGGAGGGGGTCGAACAGACCCCCTCCCCTCGGTTTTTCGCAAATAACTCGCGTAAAAGTCGACCGATCGCAACGAAACTTTCAGTACTCTCGAGTCAATCAACCTTACATCTACCCTAAAAATTTCATGACCCTGACCCAAACGACCTTTCACCTATGACCTGTTTCTCGAGACCATGTTTGGCCGGAGTCGCGATTCGGCGTATGTCGGCTCGCGTTTGCAGTCTTTTCATGGTTTCAAGCGTTCCAACTTGTGATATGATGCTGGTCGTATGCATTATGGTGGGTGTCAAGGTCACTTGAAGGTCAGGTCAGGTCATTGACCTTTGATGACCTCGGTTCTCTTTTTGAGTTTTAGGTACATGTTTCCAGGGTAGTTTTTGGAGCTGAATTCGAATTTAGCAACCATCTGAACATTTACGAAGTAGTTTTGGTGCCTTCGTACGAAGCTGTCAGAGGCGGTTGACACGTACTACGAATACCCGGCAGGACCCCTACCGGTTGACCTGACCTGACCTGACCCAACCTGGTCTAAATGCATAAAGGTATCGCCTGTGATCAAAACTAATATGATATTCGTGAACAGCACCCCGAAAGACCCCATAGCAGCCACACTTAACGACGTTCTAACAGGTCCCGATTTTCCCGACTTTTGGGTCATTGACCTGACCTGGAAGGTCAACCGATGACCTAGGACCTTGAAATCGGGTATCATCGGCTTCCTCTCGTCACGGGCAACACGCTTGTCTTTTCCGCGAAGCTCTAGCTCGATCAGGGGTCAAACGCGAGGGGGGTCGTAGCCCCCCCCCCCTGTGCCGTCGAAGGACGCCAAATGGCCTGTGCCGGCGAGGGTTATGAGCTCAGTTTTAAAGCTGGATCCTTTTTTTGCATTGGAGAACTCAAAATACACAGGACTCTTAAACTAACATCTCATATTTAATATAAAAAAATAAACTTTAGAAAACTGATAGCATCAAAAATAAAAAATTATATTATTAAACCTTTGTACTATACGTTTTTGACTTTTCGAAAATATCGTACCACAGAATGAATAGCACCATCGTGTTCCTCAGCTAAAACGGCATCTGATAGACACATTTTTTTAAATGAAAACTTAAACTTCAAAAGTTGACCTTTTCTGACCTGAAAGTGACTTGACCTCAGCTAGATTCAGCTGAAAATGGCATTGAATGACACATACGACACAGCCTTCTGAACACATGGCCTAAATCGACCATAAAACATATGTCACGCGACCGGGGCATGATTTGAAATTTCCGTGACCTAGGATGACCTGGCGTCGACTTGAAAAACTAATTGCACAAGTTTGGCACCATCAGGGTATATAAGACATATTCTCGAGTGTATTATCAAAAATGAGGCTTATCTGAGTTACTAGCCGGCGACCAGAGTCCAAAAACAAGCTAAAACTTCGATAACTCTTACTTTGACCTTACCTGTGACGTCATCGGTGACCTTGAGGTCAATAACATTAGGTACTTTTAGACAATTTTTCCAGGGCTATCAGACGCCCTTTGAATTTTGACAATCGGTCTAGTAGTTTTGGAGTTAGAAGGGGGCTATGAATAGCAGCTCTCCAGTGGGGCACGGGATATTGGCGAGCAGTGTGTTGCAAAATGTTGCATAGCCGCCGAGGCGCACGTTTGCGCACTTTTATACTGTCTGACTAGTTCAGTAACATCCCACTGCGTATTGTGACGCACAATTTAGAGCGGGACCTAGGGGTACTCAAAAGATCGGCTCTAACTTAGTGATCGATGTTAGTTTCAAAAATATGAGATGACGCGATGATATGTTGATCTCTCATGTTGCTTAATGATGCACCTCATCTCATTTCTCTTTCCGCAGGATTGATTGTAACATGTCACAGAACAACTCATAAAAACATTGACGTGGACAACTAACGCACATAGGATCCCCATGGCATATACTTTGACTCTTCAAACATGCGTTAATCATGACTTGTCCGCGGTCCAAAAAAACTTTGTGTTTGAGGCTCCTTTCTCCCCATACCAAGATATTGCAGGACCAAATAACTGTCATGTATGTAATGTGTGGACATTTTGCCGTCGATTGGTATGGTTTTTGTTTTCATAAAAGCGAGAAAAAAATTTGGGATTCTGAGAGGCTAGACCGGCCCGAACGCCTACAGTGCGGCGGTCAGAGCCCACTCCGTTCGGCACCTCCTGTTCATCCATATCCCGTCAAACCTGGCTACGATAGCTGACAAGTGATACGACATCGAAAGTAGTGATACGCAATCTGACGATATCTCAGCCACCTCAAAGAGGGCCCTCTGAGGTCAAAGAAGGCCCCCGGAGACCTCAAAGAAGGTTCTGATGCAACAATAGGGCCCTCTAAGGTCACCAGAGGGCCCTTTGAGGCGAACAGAGTGCCCTCTTAAGCGAACAGAGGGCTTTCTGTGGCGAATAGAGGACCCTCAATGGCAAGGCCTTTAAGGCGAATAGAGGGCCCCTTGGGACTATCAGAGGACCCTTTTAGGCCAACGGGAACCTTATGACGCCAACAAAGGTCCACCTGACGTCGATTTAGGGCCCTGCCACCCTCCGGCCACCAACACCGTCATCTGCTCGTTGAGTTCAGTGATTGGCATAGGTCTTAAGTTCCCATTGACAAAGTGCTGTTTAAATGCTGCGCCGGAGGCGCGCGAAATTTTCGAAACAGTCTCCTCCGCTTCTTAGGAACGTCTGTTATGAGTTCACTGCTCACAGATCTTCTCGCTCTTTTAGCAAGGTTGGTGAGGCAAAAATAACGCCTGGTAAGGCCGCTGCCACACCAAGGGTAACGGAAGATACGCCCATGGGTGGCCGGCCATAAAAAGAGTTTTTGCCCAAGACGGCGACATTGAAAAGGGGTACACCTGTGAGGAGTGCGGACCGATCAACATGAAGACGCCAGTGGGTAGAGAGGCGGGCATGGGAGAGCGCCAGTATGTAGGACGGCGGCCATCAACAGTAGGGGAAGATGGGGTAATTTGGCCGGCAGTATAATTTGGCCGCCCCCACCTGTACGATATCGGACAGAAGTGAATGAAATTATTCTAGCCTCTATTCGTGTGTCATAGGTGGAACTAATCCGTGGAAATTTTTCAACTCTCGCTGCTCGTAGTTTTCTTCAAAATCAATACAACGTGAATTTCATTAGAAAATTGTAACTATTACTTCCATTTGAAAAATTGTATAGTATGTAGTACTTGAGCTGTCAACGAATTCCGACATTGTGGTGCCATTCTAAGGGTTGTTTCGCGTTTCTAAGAGCAATTTCACTTCCGTATAGCCGTAACGACTTTATAGACATTTTTTCATAATGGCAATGCTAGTGGAGTTTGGCCAGGGCTAGTGCAGCAGCTTTCCCGGTGCTCTCAGGATCGCTCTGCTCAATGCTGGGACAGTCGAGTTGCTAAGCTCGCATGGTGCCGAGCTGGTAGGATTCACGGCCGCCGGCGGTGGCATTGCGGCACAGTCTGCCTTCTAGGGGCTGGTCAAGACACTGCACAACGCAATGCGACTAAGAACCCAGGGATTTGCTCAAATCAAACTGATAGTCGCATCTGCAGTTCATAAAAAGTATCGAACACGTGTTTGCGAACATGAGAAGGTTACAAGATGTGAGGGTTTGATATTGAGTTGAGTTATTTTATTGATTGGAAAGAAATTTGAATTGAAATTAGTCGATTGTTAAAATAAAATAAAAATAGCATTTTTTCCAAACAATACCCTCTCACTAATTGAAAGTTACATTGTGAAAACTTTTTTATGACAAATTAATGCGTTTTTGTGAAACGGGTTTACTGTTTAGGCTAGCTTTTCGTTAGCCTAAACCCGATTTTCAATTTATTTTGATTTACCCTTCAATTATTTTGATGGCGTCTAGTCTGGGAGCTGAACTCCGTCCCATTCAACTGGGCGTGGGAACACCCTCGGGCTGTGAGGCGGCGGTCCACGCCACACGCCAGTTCATCGAAATGAGCCAGGAGACAGCCGCTCCCCAAGTTCTGGTCAAGATAGACGTTTCAAATGCCTTCAACAGCGTACGTCGTGACGCTCTCTTGGCCCGGATCAAAGAACGCTGCCCCGAAGCCTACCACCTTGCGTATCAGGCCTACGGCGCACCCAGCGCTCTCATCATGGATGGTCAGACCATCGCCTCAGCGAGTGGTGTGCAGCAAGGCGACCCCCTAGGGCCTGTTGCCTTTGCTCTCGCCATAGACTCCTGCGCCAGGGCTGTGAGAGCACCTCTGAATGTCTGGTACCTTGATGATGGTACGATCGCCGGCCCTTCCGGTGACACAGTCGCCGCTGACCTGGCAGCCCTTCGCTTAGCCCTGTCAGCAGTTGGCCTCAGTCTGAACGCTGACAAGTGCGAAGTCGCCTTTCTCGGCGCACCGGACTCAGATCTCCGTGGTCCCGCTATAAGCGCCATCAGAGCCGCTCTGCCGGACGTCAAGGAGACCCCGCTGGACAATCTCTTTCTGCTGGGGTCTCCTCTTACAGACGGTGGAATCGTGGCAGCTGGAGAGGCCGGTTCAGCATTGGTGCGAAGACTCTGTGACCGGGTGCGGGGACTGGACAGCCACACGGCTGTCTTCTTTCTCGCACATTATGTGTCAGCTCCAGGACTTAACATACCTACTACGTTCTGCACCGGCCTTCAAGGCAGAACGCGCGCTTTGAGACACGGACGAAGCTGTTAGAAGCTGCCTCGAAGCCGTCTCAAACGTCATCATCAGCCCGGAGGCGTGGGAACAGGCATCCCCCTTCCAATTCAACTTGGCGGGCTTGGCGTTCGAGCAGTGAAGGAGTTGGCCTTGCCTGCCTACATCGCATCACTGCATGCATGATGCAACGCTCCCATTGTTAAACTTGATCTGTCCACGGGCGTCTGATGATGAACTCCCGACTGCCCTGAAGATGGCAGTCAGCGCTTTCAGACAGAAAACTGGTCTGACCGTGTCTTCAGAGGACAGACTGCCAACTGGAGACATCGCTAAGTCTCAGAGAGCCTGGGACACTCTAGCCGCGACAGTCGTCAGAGACCGTCTGCTGTGCTCCGCCAACCACGTCCATCGCGCGCGCCTCCTCGCCGCCGGTGAGCCCCACACGGCCGCCTGGATACAGGCTATACCAGTGCCCGCGCTTGGTCTCCATCTGGACGACGAGACTGTCCGCATTGCCATCGCTTTGAGGCTCGGTGCACCGATATGTGAGCCGCACCGCTGTCGCTTATGCCACCGACAAGTAAGCGAACTCGGCCTCAACGGACTTTCGTGCCCGAAGAGCGCTGGCCGGCAATCGCGGCATAGCCACCTAAACGACGTCGTGCGTCGCAGTCTAACCAGCGCAGGCTTCCCGGCCGTCCTAGAGCCGGCTGGACTAGACAGGGGCGACGGGAGACGTCCAGACGGCCTGACAATCTTTCTGTTTCGGGATGGAAAGTGCCTCACATGGGACGTAACGTGTGTGGACACCTATGCGGACAACGTCCTAGTCAAGTCGGCTTTGAATCCGGGCACGGCAGCGCGCCAGGCAGAAGAAAGAAAAAGACAGCGCAACACAGAACTAACACGTCGCTACCTGTTCCAGCCGGTGGCATTGGAAACCAGTGGCGTTTGCGGACCAGCAGCCGCTGCGTTCATCCAAGACCTGGGTCGGCGCATATGCACCTGCACTGGCGACCGGCGTGAGACGGCGTGGCTGAGGCAGCGCCTATCTATAGCCATCGCTCGCGGCAACGCGATATCAATCCTCGCAACTGCCCCCTACGCCGGCATGGATGGAACAAGCCGCACCAAAAGGCATACAGCCCCTGCCGAATGCGCAAAGACTCTCAAGAGCACCTCAGCGGCCTGTCTTCAACTGGGAGTGCCCGTGTCACCTCCCCCGGCGCCGACCGTGGGCGGATGGACTTCCGAGGCTGCTGGAGAAGAGGCATCCGATCCTAGATTCACCACAACTCATCACAAGTCGACTGAAGAGAGACCAACCCTTGGACCAACCGACAACCTCAGACCGGAGGAGCAGGAACGGCGCCTGGAGCAGCCCGACGGTGTAGCGCATCCCCCGTCAATAAGGGGTGACGACAACCTGGCTGGTGGAGACAGATCAGATTGTCTTCTCTTATCACTGCCTATCGCCGAGCTGGAACAGGAGCAGACAGACACACCAACCTCTACGCGCGCGCCGCCAACCTCCAACCACGAGACTAAGCCTCCAGTGTGCACACAGCGCGACGACACACAGGTGCTGCAGCCGTGCAGCGAGAAGGCGGAGACTGCCGGAGACCCGTGTCCGTCACCTCCACAGTCCGCCAACAGCCCCATCTCAACTCGCCTGGCGAGATACAGACAAATATACGAGGAAATGAGGGCGGATTTTGCCGCACAGGGCCTTCCGCGGAGCCGCGACCCTCTGGATGATCCAGACCTGGCACCGTACCTCGTGTGCGGCATAAATCGGTGCTAGGGTGTATCGTGTTATTCTAGAGTGTATGTAGCGTGTAAAGCCTAAGCTACACTAGCATGAATTCCGACGTTTTTTCGGTTTCTGCGGGATTTCGGTTCGCGTCAAGTTCGCCTCATAGCGAATGCATTGCGCAAGCCACACTGCCAGTCTGGCGTCCCGTGGAACGAAAACCCGCAAAAACCGACGAGTCGGAACCGAAAAAAAGTTCAGAGCTGTGAACTTTTTTTCGGTTTCTGCGGGATTTCGTTTTAGTGATGAATGATTAGAAGTAATTGTTGCTAATAATATTGTGACGATGGAACAGTTTCAAATGTAAATAATGAAAATAATGTAATTCATGACTAAAGAAAACAACATGTGTTTCAAAACTCATCATTCTACTTCAAATATGACAATTGTAATTAAGCTGACAAATGATTATGATCGAAAATATATTCTTGTTAGTTGCAAAATCTTTAAAACAATTATTTAATCATAATATTGTTAAAACACGATAATATTTAACATGAATAATTAATTAATTTGATCACTTAACCATCACTACGCTATAAACAACACCGTCCACGCGGCGGCCGCCCGGAATGAAAAAACGCAGAAACCGTAAAAACGCGGAAACCGAAATCACGCAGAAACCGAAAAAACGCTGATAGTGTAGCCTGGGCTTAACTGTATCTATGTAGTGTGAATGTAAATACAACCCTTTACCCTTACTTTTTGGATAGCATAAATTAAACTAGTGTAGTTTGATAGGAGCAGCCTAGATCCGAGTTTACACGAACTTTGGAGCACGTTAGCCTAAATCAGATTTACCCTAGCCCGTCCAATTAAACGATTTTGTTAGTTCATATTTTATCCACCAGAGTTTGCTTCATACTCAAAGGACTTTGTCGCCCAGTAAAAGAACTGGTAGCGATGTGCCATGTTGATTTGGAAGCATGACTGCGATACAATTTCGGCGCAGCTGTTTGCACGCCGGAATATCTTTGAGCGTTATTTGCTGCATTGCACGTGCGGTTTCTAGGATGGTTGTCGTTGGACGTTGTGTGTCTACAGGTTAGTTAAGTAAACAGCCAGAAGAACTCCTCCCATCCATTGTTGTCACTTGTCTCCTTGTTTTGTTTAGTTTTTTTCCCCACCTACCTTCTTGCAAAAATTGCCTGTCACTGTGGCCTGTGCCTGTCATGACATGACCACGACCAGAGTCCATATCGATATCCGTTTTTGCTTGATCTTGGCGGCTATATAGTTGTGTGAAGATGGTGGATGCTCAGTTCATGTGTTGTTAATTGTTACATCACTTTCCGTTTTAAAATGAACGAGCATTGGGGTTGGACCCTGAAAAAACGATGCCAATGTCTTGGCACCAAAAAATAAGTTAGTATTTTTCGCTAATTGATTTAAAATCAGAATTGTAAGTGGTTAAGCGTTCTGAGGAAAATCATCATGAGAAGTATGCGCATCCGGCTGACCTTATCCTCACTTCTGTATGGAAATATGAAATTGCAAAAATAAATTACTGTATTAAAAATCGAGATATTTCGAGCACAGCTCTTCGTCGGTCGATTGTAATTATTTACACACATAACAGGCACACAATGTCGAATTCGTCTCAAGTTCTTCAGTAATGTCGCAGTAAGAAATTTAAATACACAGATCCCGTGCAAATTGATCACCCTAGTTCCTACCTTAAAAATATATCTAAACATAATTCCCCAGTTAAACTAGCAGTACATATATAGGTATCTTTCAAGAACCAATTCACACACATTTATATACATTATTTTGGAAGAAGCTGCCATGATGTAGTGTTATCGTTAATTTTGGGCCTGGCGTCTCGGATGAAGATGGATTCAGCGATTCTTCTATCCGCTTCGTCTTTGCATACACGCAGGATTTTGGCCGTCGCCGAGATGTCGCGTCGATCCATCTCAGGGTGCTTATGCAGCGCATGCTCTCCTAGGGGAGTGTCCTCTTCTCTGTTAATGCCGTTCCTCCGATGCTCGTTGTAGCGGAGTCTAACTGGCCTGCTCGTTTCTCCGATGTAGGTGTCGCCGCAGTGACTGCAGGTAAGTTCATATACCACGTTTTTGGTCGTGCACTTGGACTGTAGCCCCGCCTGGCATGAATGACAGCACCTTCGTCCCGAGGGGCAGGGGGCTGGGTTCAGTCGTGTCTTGACCAGTCGTTTCTTCAGGGTGTTGTTGGTGGTCCATGCTATCTCCACTGGTAATCCAGAGTTGATTGCAACCTTCTTCACCTGAGCAGCCACCTTGTCATTAACGAAGGGCAGTCGGATATATGTGCCTTGCTTCTTCTTGTTCTGTTGTCGCTGATCTGGCCGTTCCCGTCGTTCTCTTCCTCTGTCTCTGCTTCTCTCTTCATGTTTCTTCATTTCCCTCCAACTGTACTCCTTGATCATCTTCATCGGATATCCATTACTGACAAACAGATGACGTATCTTCTCGAGCCCTCTTTTTCTTGCCGCTGTGTCTGAGCCAAGACGGATCGCCCTAGTGATCTGTGATGTGAGCACAGCCTTCTTTGTAGACCTGGCATGTGCCGAGTCATACGGCAGAATGATCGGTGCCGCCATGGGCTTGAAATACAGCTCCGTGCTGTACGAGCCGTCCTGTCGCACGCTTATCAGTGTGTCCAGGTATGGCAGCGTCCCGTCCTGGTCTGATCGCTCAATCGTGAATTGAATGGCCGGATGTCTCGAGTTGAGGAAGGCCAGATGTCTCGAGTTGAGGAAGGCCAGATATTCAGTTGAGGAAGGCCAGAATATCTGAATATCTAACTGAATATCTGGCCTTCCTCAACTCGAGACATCCGGCCATTCAATTCACGATTGAGCGATCAGACCAGGACGGGACGCTGCCATACCTGGACACACTGATAAGCGTGCGACAGGACGGCTCGTACAGCACGGAGCTGTATTTCAAGCCCATGGCGGCACCGATCATTCTGCCGTATGACTCGGCACATGCCAGGTCTACAAAGAAGGCTGTGCTCACATCACAGATCACTAGGGCGATCCGTCTTGGCTCAGACACAGCGGCAAGAAAAAGAGGGCTCGAGAAGATACGTCATCTGTTTGTCAGTAATGGATATCCGATGAAGATGATCAAGGAGTACAGTTGGAGGGAAATGAAGAAACATGAAGAGAGAAGCAGAGACAGAGGAAGAGAACGACGGGAACGGCCAGATCAGCGACAACAGAACAAGAAGAAGCAAGGCACATATATCCGACTGCCCTTCGTTAATGACAAGGTGGCTGCTCAGGTGAAGAAGGTTGCAATCAACTCTGGATTACCAGTGGAGATAGCATGGACCACCAACAACACCCTGAAGAAACGACTGGTCAAGACACGACTGAACCCAGCCCCCTGCCCCTCGGGACGAAGGTGCTGTCATTCATGCCAGGCGGGGCTACAGTCCAAGTGCACGACCAAAAACGTGGTATATGAACTTACCTGCAGTCACTGCGGCGACACCTACATCGGAGAAACGAGCAGGCCAGTTAGACTCCGCTACAACGAGCATCGGAGGAACGGCATTAACAGAGAAGAGGACACTCCCCTAGGAGAGCATGCGCTGCATAAGCACCCTGAGATGGATCGACGCGACATCTCGGCGACGGCCAAAATCCTGCGTGTATGCAAAGACGAAGCGGATAGAAGAATCGCTGAATCCATCTTCATCCGAGACGCCAGGCCCAAAATTAACGATAACACTACATCATGGCAGCTTCTTCCAAAATAATGTATATAAATGTGTGTGAATTGGTTCTTGAAAGATACCTATATATGTACTGCTAGTTTAACTGGGGAATTATGTTTAGATATATTTTTAAGGTAGGAACTAGGGTGATCAATTTGCACGGGATCTGTGTATTTAAATTTCTTACTGCGACATTACTGAAGAACTTGAGACGAATTCGACATTGTGTGCCTGTTATGTGTGTAAATAATTACAATCGACCGACGAAGAGCTGTGCTCGAAATATCTCGATTTTTAATACAGTAATTTATTTTTGCAATTTCATATTTCCATACAGAAGTGAGGATAAGGTCAGCCGGATGCGCATACTTCTCATTAAAATCAGAATTGCATAAAAGTGGTGAGTAAGCTCAAAAATCAAAATTAGCATGGAAATTGGCTGAGCGGTGACATCACTAGGGTAGGAAAAAAATGTCAGCGAATTTGGCGCAAATCATTCATTCGGAACGCTATGCTTGAATGTTCACCGACATGTATTGGATAGCAATCATTCATCAATAACCGTGGATAACATGAAGGAAATTGACGGTTGACAACCGAGCACAAGTCACAGTAAACACAAAAATTAGTTCAGCCTGGACCACAAGAACGTGACCTAGTAGTAGGGGCATTCCACGATAGATCGACCAAAGCCGTACACCCTCATATTTTATTTTTTGTTTAAAATTGGTCTAATGGGTTGTGATGGGCGGGGAAGCCAGCTGTGCCAAGGATTTTTTTCTTCGAACAACGGTTTCCGAGATATAGCCTCAGGCAATTCCTGGAGGTCACGCTGCAACCCTATGTTTGGCGGCTTATAACTAAGAAACTATTGGTTTTCTATGGTGAAAACTTTATATGGTTCAACTCGCAATCAACCAACAAACGTTTTGGCTATCTCGGATTTTCGATTTTTGACAATTTTGATCACGTGACATCTTGACCTTTTTTTCGAAGAGTGACCTTGATATTTTCCCAACTGAAAGTCGCAATTATGTCTGATGACGATTAAAGCCTTATCAATTGTCATTCATATGCGCAAATAAAAAATGTGGCTTTCGGCCTGCGTTGACCTCAGGTCAGGTCATTTTTATGACCTGTCCATTATTACGAGCGGGAGCGACGCGAGATCTCGAGAATAAAGCAAGATAGCGACAAGCGGTAAACTGTAGGGGAGAGCGGGGAGAGTTGTATCATGTCCAAGTTGTATCAGGGCGAATTGTGCCAAACTTATCCAATAGATTGCGCTCGTGACACGACCAGCCGACGAGTTTTTCCGGGCGCCATCTTTCCCTGTTCTGTCGTGTGGCTGGGTGGACGCGTCTCGAGGTGAGAGCCGATTTTATGTTTTTTTAATGTCATTCTAAAAAAACAAGTTGCAAGAAAATGTGTGTTTTGGGCATTTAGATGTGCACGAATTTGAAAGATCTCCGTAGCGGTAGTGAGGGTTGGTTCTAAGGCTGCGTGAGTGAAAATGGATTTCTCCAGCTGTCCGCTGTTTTTGAGCACGAGGATGTTTTTTTCCAAGATGGCGGCGAGGTACATGTTGTATCAGAGCCGGGTGGGGTATGTTGTAACATGTATGTATGTATGTATGTATGGGTATGTTGCTTTTGATCGCGAAAGCTAAGCCCTGGCTCACGTTTGTAGGTAGCTAGTCAATACTCGTTCCATTTCGGCACAATGTGTTGGCTTCTTTGCTCTTAACGGGCCACTTTTGCGTCTAGTCTGTTGATGTTTCGTTTGTTTCGATGTTTCGTTCGGATTGTCCTAAGTTTGGTCTAATAAAAGTGAAGCCTTTGAGCATATACATTGTATTAACCCCATTTAATGTTGTTGTTATACTCAAAACCAGTAGCAAGCACACTCCCTGAAATGTGAGATAGTGATAGGTACAAATTACCCCACCATGTGATACAACTCACCCAAGCCATGGGGCAAGTTGTATCAAAAATATTGTTCTATTCGGCAGACCGTAGAAGAAAAACTGGTAGAGGTAGCGGAAAAGTTACTTTGCACAAAAAAGCAGAAGAATCAAGGAAGGAGATAGTATGGAAATAATGAGTTTATCACGGATAGTTACGAGGTTAGGGGTCTCGGAGTAAAAACTGATACAACCCACCCCACTCTCCCCTACAGGATTCACACGGATAAGGTCTACAATTTTTACGGAGGTCATTTTCAGGTCAGGTCAAAGATGACGTCACAGGGGTAAAAAGGAAGTCAAAATAGTTTTGGCTGTACCTTTTGATCTAATAAAGAAAGAGACGTGGAACAGGCACCATTGTGTTTGCTTTCGCCTAGCGCCAGTTCGTTTTGAATTTCAATACCGATGACCTAAGATCAGGTCAATTTCTTGACCACCCCATTATAATTCAATTGGGGAAAAATCAGCTCCCTTGTTTTTACACTAAAACGCGTCGGAATTGCCTATTATACCATGAGTGACTTCATATACGACTAACTTTGACTACCTTGAGACCTTTTTTGCTCTTGGTCAACTGTGACGTTGCTCTTGGGTCATGTGACGTCATTAAAGGTCACCAAATGTTTTTTGCTAATAACTCCTTACAGGTTTGAGATACAGCCGCGCGGATAGGCTCATTGTGTTCAGCTCGTCAAGGCCTATCGAATGATATATATGATGACCTTAAGGTCACGTGACCTAAGGTCAACTTTTGACCTTGACCTTTCGAGGTCAACATACACATGTTTCGATGCGGATCGACGAGAGGATCACGATGGTGCTATTAGTTTGTTCATAGCTGGGATACTTTGAAAGTTATTCGGAGAAAAACTTCATATATATGTACAGGGTGGGGCAGCATAATCGGGAATGCTTTTTGGGCTCTGATCATGAGTAGGCATGGCATTATTTTTATAAATTATATTATGGCAATGAAACGCCCAAAAGTTGTGCATCATCTGACATGACTACATCCATGAGCATGCAACTTCCTGGAAAAGAGCAGCAAAATAGTTCGACGGTGCTCCAAGTGCTTTGCGCGCGCCCATAGACACTAATGTTAAACAAGTAAAACAAGAACATTTTGTTTAAAACCCTGCAATTCCACGTAAAGGTTGCTGGGCAGGTCAACGTGTTATCACGGACGATAAGGATTGTGTGGGGATACTTAGGACAACAGGTTAACGTAATCGTCTTAAAATAACTCTTAGCAGAGGACATACAAGACGACTCACTTGAATATAAGGAAGAAGCACTTGAGCATATTAAAAAGAAACAATGTTCAAAACTTCAGCGACAAAAAATCTTATCACCGACTGGAATACGATAAAAAAGAATGGCATGCCATATAGGGGATTGTATCGAGAATATTCCAGCGGTCATGCAAAGTAAACATCCTGTTGGGGTGATGGACCTATGGGTGGTCTTCAAGGGAGGTGCACGTGGTGCACCCTACTTCATCGAGCCCGGATAAAATGAGCACCTCTGGTAAATACAACCGCACTCTGGCAGACTCACGTGGAGCCGTCGGAAGAGAGGATCACTGACGGTCCAAATCACGTCTTACGAGGACTCTGTCCGTGCTGGTACTGCAGTGAGGACGACATGTTATTGTGTAGGGCACCTCCACCTGAGATGAACCAAAAACTTCTGGTCCTTCAACTCCGCCGATTTAAATCCGACCAAATTCTTTACATGGAGCGTTTTTTGGTAGAAGTTTAATGAACAACTTATCATTAGTAAAAACAGTCTTCAGTGCAAGGTACGAAGCTGATGGGCGATCATGGACAAGCAGGAGGTTGCACGTGCATGCGCGTGCTTTTGGACCCGCCTTGAGAAGGTCATCGACGCCGAGGGCGGTCAAATAGGATGAGGGATAGGTAAAAGGTGACCGATTGATAGGATGTTGCTAAAATAGTGCTTGGAGCTATATTTTTAGATTCATGACCAAATAATCCCGTTTGATATTTATTCCCGATTATGCTGCCCCACCCTGTAGTGCCG